CGATTCTTTTGTTGGCAATAACCACGCCCAATTTTCAACAGTAGATAAAGACGACACAAACTGTGCTAAAGAATTTGGCGCTTGGTGGTTTTCAAACGATTTGGAGCACTGTGGTCACTCGAACCTCAACGGTAATTACCACCAAACGAACGGTATGAGATGGAGTAAGTGGAATAAAGGCCCAGATACGCTCATCATCAAAGCTGAAATGAAGATCAAGCCGGATTGCCCAAGAAAATAATTTATGTAAAATGTATGAGATCGTGTAAAAAAAAAAGATGACAATAAATGTGTTTGCAGTGTACTAGTTGATTCTTGTGTAACTCGCTGGATGAGCGAAGTATGTCGAATCGAAGTGCGCAGAGGTTATGGAACCACTCAGCCACACCAATTGAGCCTCGAAACCTCCTCTTGTCTACGAACATATCCTATTGGTTTGTGCATAATATGTTCTTCATTTTTTCTTACTCTTCCAAATCGCAAAGCGTCTCCAAATGGAATTTCCGTAGCCAAAATACCACATACTTGCTATTTTAACGTTACCATACTGCTATACGCACTGAAACTTTTGTATTCTGGCAGCCGGAGGAACATTTCGAATCTTTTTCACGTTGTACACAGCGGACACATGAAAATTTGACACAAGGAAACCTGGAATCTGTTGTGTAGATTGTTAAATTACAGCATTTAACTATGAGGAGGAAATATGTACTCATACGAAATTATGCTTATCTGTACTGATATAGGTTTTGAGCGCTTTTATGAAATTTTTCAAGAAAGGCGGAGGTCTTCTTTAACCAAAACATAACCGGTGAAAGGCGGGCACTAATCGAGAACAGACTGAATGATTCACTGTATTTTAGTCACAACTAGTTTATGATAAGGTATGAAGAGCTCTACAGTAAAGGATTTGAGCCCAGGAGTAACTTATGATAGTTTAGTCTGATCGTCCGAGTGAGTGTAGTCCGAATAAGGACTGTTATCGGTTGTGGTGTCTGACGTTAGAAAACCTAAGCGGAAGTCATCATCAGAGTCAAGTGAATAGCTGTTCTTAATCGAATGTTCTAAGACCTGTTTATATATACTGATTGGTCAGTTTTGCCGTGATTATATTGGATGTAAGACTCAAGTGGC